CGGGTTGCGGGCGGATAAAAGCGGACGTGGGGACTCGGGTCGGGGCACATCGTAACTAAGAGAGCCATTCCATTTAGGGAGAGACAGAATGGGCGGGCACAAGTGGTCTGGTGTCCGAGCCGATTGGTCAGACGACGACTACTGCACATATTAGATTCTATTAGCCGCCTACCCCGGAATGGACTGGGATGGAATAGAAAGAACGCGAAGCAGCAAGCAAGGGATGAGCGCTTTGTTGCTAAAGCGCATACATTTTCTTGCTGGGTCGGTTTGTTTTTGGGGGGTGGGGCAATAAGCTTGCTTCTTCACAAGCTTATCCCCGCCCCCTTTCCTGTCTGTCCCGACCGGCAGCAGTTGGGCCATGTTTTTAGATCTTAGTTTACTCTGAAATTACCTATTATTTGCGTTCTATTTCCGCTGGAATTGGTGAATGGTTCTTCTTTTTTCATTCATCATAGCTCCGTGCAGCGGTGCTTGAAGGAGGGCTTAGTGTTATATAAGATATTGCAATCAAGGGCATGCGGGCCCTATCAGATCTCAGCTAACCAGACCTGGAACGTGATAGGGACCTTCGGTGGAAGAATCTGATTCTAAGTTGCATGCGAGTTTCATGACTCTCTGGGTATAGCAACCATAGAAGAAGCGTTTTCTTTGATCTAGATAGGTGGGACGAATTGCACCACGATGCCTTCATCAAGGTAATGGCGCAAAACACCACCATCGCCTGCCATCGGCTCGGTTTTCACCGGCAATCATGTCTTCCCGACTCGCAGCCGGAACTAGATGACGGATCCCGAGATGTGACCATCCAGCCTCAGGCCGACCACCTCCGACGAAGGAGATGGCCACCACCACTGGCTGCACCGGCCATATCAGATCTGACTAGAGGTGCCACCAAGCCGCCGCCCGCCGCCACCTGTGACCGGGTTGCCCGACGCGCCGCAGTCGCTGTCGCCCGCGATAGGGCCAGCCACCGCCGCCGCCGCCATCATCGTCGCCGCCAGATCTGCCACGCCTACAAATGCGCAAGGGACTCCGCACCACCCATGAGACGCGGGAGAGAGAAGGATCCCCGCCACCGCCGTCGGTCCCCAGGTGCATCCCGGCGGCGGCGGGGTGAGGGAAGGTGGATTCGGGAGCGGGGGCGGCTAGGGCTGGGTACCCGCCCGAGTCGCCCGAGCGGGGGTCGAACATATGTCCATCAATGTGTTGCATAACAAATTTAAATTTCACTTTTGGAGTAGTGTCGATTTATACACATTTGAGTTTGATCCTTGTATGTAGGGTGTGTGGAGTTTCCAGGCACTTCGTGTGGCGACCCTAGCTTCACTGGCGGCGACGGTGTCACCTACTACTTCCACGGCAGGAAGGACCAGTATTTCTGCATCGTCTCCGACGTCGATCTCCACATCAACGCGCACTTTATCGGCAACCACAACCCCGTGAATAAGAGGAACTTCACATGGATACAAGCCATCGGTGTCACCTTCGGCGACCACCGCCTCTATGTAGGCGCTCGTAAGGCCGTCGTGTGGGAGGAGGACGAGGATCACATCGATATAACCTTCAACGGGGAGCCCATCAATATAGACACCACCAACAATGCCCAGTGGGTGTCCAAGGCCCAATCCGGTCTATCCCTGCAACGCACAGACGTCGTTAACTCCATCAAGGTGGATCTCGCCAATGTGTTCAGCATCTCGGCCAGCGCCGTGCCGATCACGGACGAGGACTCTAAGATCCACAGCTATGGCAAGACCGCGAAGGACAGTCTCGTCCACCTTGACTTTCGCTTCAAGTTCCATTCCCTCAGTGACGTTGTCGATGGCGTGCTTGGCCAAACCTATCGGTCTAACTACGTCAATAAGATGAATGTCACTGCCAAGATGCCCATCATGGGTGGCGCGCCAAAGTACTTCTCGTCGGGCCTCTTCTCAGAAAGGTCATACGAAAGAAACGTGTACCCACCTCGTATCGTAGACGTACAATCCCGGTCATACGAGTACACGTGAATAATAATAAGAAGAAAAAACTCCCCCGCAAAAAAAAAAAAACTTGCACGACCACTCGATCGAGCCCGCCTGCCGCCCGACTAGAGAGGAAAGGTAAACCGCTGATCGATCTGGCCTGCCGCACGGCGATCACGCGGCGGCTGATCTGGATCGTCGCGGGTGGGCTGAGGAGTGGAAGACCGCCGTCGCCGGTGGCCGGCCCGGTGTTGGACGTCGCCGTTCTCCGCATCGACGGCCGCCTCCAACCATCCCGACCTCCCACGCCGGCGGTTCCAACCCCGTCGTCTCCCCGTCGCGGTCGGCGGTTAGGGAAGTGGCCGGCCACGTCTTGGACGTCGCCGTCTTCCGCAACGACGCCGCGTCCGCCGCCTGTAACCATCCGGACGTCCCACGGCGCGTAGAACACTCGTCCAAGACGCCGACGTTGACCTAACTCGTCCGCCGCCGCGGATCCGTCAGGTACTCCTCACTGTCCACTTCCGGTTCAGTCCCCACTAGGAATTCATGTGGTCTTCACCTGTGTTCAGATGTACAACGGTGGTGCTGTACTTGCCATTCATCACTAGATGGATGTTTGTGTTCAGTTACAGTGCACGCTCGCCATTCAGGTGGTGGTTCTAGAGTGGTCTTAATTGTGTTTGGTACCAAGAAAACAAATAAATTCTAGTTGTACATAAATCCCAATGCTCTCTCTGCTTCAGTTTTGTTTCTTGCACTGGCCAAAGATTGGATCTCTACTAAGCTTGCAGTTCCTGTTCCTGCCGTATGGTGGATCCAGTAGCAGGCAGCAGTACCCCCCACATGCCATTAATTCCTTGTAGTAGCATGTTACTTGCTCTAGCTTAGAATTGACTCAACCAGCAAAGATTTCACATGAGTTGTACGTGTGTAGTTCAAGGGTTGGAAGCTGGAACCTGGAGATGTGTGAACTAGATGAGCCAGCTTGGACTTGGACTCTGGAGCACTGGGCATTATTCATTGGCTGGCCCTGATTAAGAAATTGCTTCTCCTCAGGCCCTCTTTAAGTGGGGGTGAAGCAAATTGTGCACTGCTCTAGGCCTTGTAGACAGTAAACAAATGTGGTGAGCCTGCAAGCACATTGCCATTTGCAGCAGCCAGCTTCCCACATCTCCATTCCATTAGGCTTTTCTGATGAAGCAGCTATGCCCAGGGATCACTGCCTTAGATGTCTGCAGTTAGCGCGGCCAGATACCTTTCTTGCACTGCTAAAGCTGCGCCATCTTGTTTCGAAGCATGCTCAAAGTTTCTACCACATGTAGGGTATCTTCATCACATAGTTGCCTCAGTTCCTGTGGGTACTACTTGCATTGCATTTTGTCAGGGGCTCGGAGTTATGTGCCTGAGCCTAAGTAGTTTGTCTGGCTTTACACTTTAAAGGGCGCCAAGGTGGAATTTCTGTCCCTCGAGTAGATGAGTTAGATTTACAAAGAAATCATTTTAAATGCTCATAGGTTAAATGTTGCAATTTATTCATCTATATGTCCCAGTGCATGAACTTAGAATTTAACGTGGGATAATGTGTTTTACAATTATGTGCAGTGTTGGTAGTAACGTGTGTTTAAATGGACGAAGAAACCTCATTTACGGCCGATGATAATGGTACAAATGATGTCGGTCGGACCGATAACGATCCTAGTAATGAAGAAGA